TGCCTCGGCCTCCCAAAGTGCTGGGATTACAGGCTGAGCCACCGAGCCCGGCCTCTGTTTTTAACTTTTAAAGTTATTCAGTCTATAATCCTAGCACTTTGGGAGGCCGAGGCAAGTGGATTGCCTGAGCCCACGGGTTCGAAACCAGCACGGGCAACTTGACGAGACCTCATCTCTACAATTAATAAAAAATAAGCTGGGAGTGGTAGCACATGCCTGTAGTTCTGGCTACTTGGAAGGCTAAGGCGGAAGGATCGCTGGAGCCCAGCAGGTCGACACTGTGGCCGTGAGCATGCCACTGCACTCCAGCCTGCACTCCAAGCCTGAGTGACGGGAGGCTCCGATTCAAAAAAACAAAAAAAAGCTAAGGACAAAAATGGAAACCCATCCTGTTCCCCAATGGAAAAGTAAAGTCATCAACCCTCCCCCAAATTAATTTTGTGAATTTTAAAACAATTCCAGTCAAAAATCCCAGCAGTGTGTATGTGGTGGTAGTGGTGAAGGGGGAGGAATTAATAAATAAATTTTAAATTAATTTGGAAAAAGAAATAGTTAAAAATACTGTTTTGAAGGTGCACTACATAGTAAGCTATCATTCTTATAAGAAATTAAAATGGGAGAAATATATAAGTATTTCATTGTATATGTATAGAAGACCTATGAGATTAATAACAGATTCCCTATGGAGAAGGGAACTGGACATGGATGGGAAAGAAATTTGTCATTATTCACCTTTTTATCTTTCAGAATTGTGAATCATCTCAATGTATCACTTAGTAGAAAACAGTTATATTTTTAAAATGGGGCAACCCCTTTGAGTTCCCTCCCACTGTGGGAGCTTTTCTGTCCTCTCAATAAATCCTGCTTTCAAAAAAAAAAATACTCTCTACCATACAAATTAAAAAGCTAGTAATAGTTAATAACAGTTAAAGGCGTGATGCTGGCCCAGGAAGACAGATTGATGAAAAAGGACAAAAATTCTAAATAAAGACCCAAAAGCATATATAAGAATTTAGTTCATAAAAAAAGTCACAGTTTAGATCAGCAAGGAAAAGACAGCTCTTCAATGAAGGATGTTGGAAAAAGTAGCTAACTGCCTGGAAAAAAATAATGTCAGATCCTTCCTGTGACATTGATACCACAATAAATTCCAGATGGATTAAAGATTTGAACACGAAAGCATTTATGAGCATGGAGACAGGCTATGGAAGGTGGCTAATTTGGTTACCTCAGGCTGGTGAGAATTGAAGGGGCTAGTAGAAAATTATTACATTTTTCATTATGTATCTTTACATTGTTTCAATTATACGATGAGAACATATTACCTTTGAAAATAAAAATTCTGGCCGGGCTCGGTGGCTCAGCCTGTAATCCCAGCACTTTGGGAGGTCAAGGCGAGCAGAATGCCTGAGCCCGTGGTTTTCAGACCCACCTGGGCAACTTGGTGAAACCTTATCTCTACAATAAATAAAAAATTAGCTGGGCATGGTAGCGTGCGCCTGTAGTTCTGGCTACTTGGAAGGCTGAGGCGGAAGGATCGCCGGAGCCCAGCAGGTCAAGGCTGTGGTGGCTGTGATTGTGCCACTGCACTCCAGCCTGGGTGACAGTAGGACTCCGACTCAAAAAAAGAAAAATTCTAATAAAGAATACTTTAAAGGATAAAAATGTAAAACTATTAAGGGGCAAGAAAATACAGATAATTATACACTCTAGGGAGGAGGCAGACTCTATAGCAAGTCACCAAAAACAGAAACCATAAAGAGGAAGGCTAATGTATTTAAAAACATAAAAAGCTAGCTGAGCTCGGTGGCTCAGCCTGTAATCCTGTGCTTTGGGAGGCTGAGGTGAGTGGATTGCCTGAGCCCGCAGGTTCAAGACCCGCCTGGGCAACCTGGCGAGACCTCATCTCTACAATAAATCAAAAAATCAGCTGGGCGTAGTAGCGTGTGCCTGTAGTTCCAGCTACTCGGAAGGCTGAGGAGGAAGGCTTGCCGGAGCCCAGCAGGTCGAGGCTGTGGTGGCCGGGAGCGGCCACTGCACTCCAGTCTGGGCGACAGAGTGAGACTCCAACTCAAAAACAAAAAACAAAAAACAAAAAAACCCATAAAAAGCTTACATTTAAATGGGTCAAAAATTAATACAACCAAAATTAAAATGCAAATGAACAGAGAAAGATGCTTTCAACAATATATGACCAAAGAAGAATTAATATCTTTCATATATAGAGCTCTTCAAACCAATAAGAAAACAACAAATGCCAATACTCTCAAAAGAAAAATAGGTAAAGCTGGGCCCAGTGGCTCACACCTGTAATTCCAGCACTTTGAGAGGTGGAGGCAAGAGGATTGCCTGAGCCCAGGGGTTTCAGACCAGCCTGGGCAACTTGACAAGACAAAAAACTAGCTGGGTGTTGTGGTGCACACCTGTAGCTCCAGCTACTGGGAAGGTTGAGGCAGAAGGATCGCCTGAGCCCAGCGAGTTGAGGCTGCGGTAGCTGTGAGCATGCTACTGCATTTATAGTCTGGGTGATTCCGATTCACAAAAAAAAAGAAAAATAGGCAAAGGACATGAACAGGTAGTTCACAAAAGAAGACATTCATATACACGTTTGAAGGAGACAGTTTTCTCTCATGCGCATGCCAGCTCTGGCATGTCTCCCTTTGTTTTCTCTCTTTTTTCTCTAACAAACTTTATTTTATTTTTATTTATTTATTTATTTATTTAGAGTTGGACTCTCACTCTGTTGCTCAGGCTGGAGTGCAGTGGCATGCTCACGGCCAGTCCAGCATCGACCTGCTGGGCTCCAGCAATCCTTCTGCCTCAGCCTTCCAAGTAGCCAGAACTACAGGCGAGCACTACTATGCCCAGTTAATTTTTTTATGTATTGTAGAGATAAGGTCTCACCAAGTTGCCCAGGCTGGTCTCGAACCCTAGGCTCAGGCAATCCTCAGCCTCCCAAAGTGCTGGGGTTACAGGCTTGAGCCACCACGCCCAGCCTACAATATACCTTAATGCACTTTGTTTGATTATGAACAGTGTGACTGTTACTTTTTTCAAAAAATGTAAATGTAAAAGAAGAGATCAGGCTGGGCTCGGTGGCTCAGCCTGTAATCCCAGTGCTTTGGCTGAGATGAGTGGATTGCCTGAGCCCGGGGTTCGAGACCCGCCTGGGCAACTTGGCGAGACCTCGTTTCTACAATAAATAAAAAAAATAGTCGGGCGTGGTAGTGCACGCCTGTAGTTCCAGCTACTTGGAAGGCTGAGGTGGAAGGATCGCCAGAGCCCAGCAGGTGGAGGTTGCAGTGGTTGGGAGCAGCCACTATACTCCAGTCTGGGTGACAGGGTGAGACTCCAACTCAAAAAAAAAAAGAAGAGATCCCAGGAACAAGGGATCCTAGGAAGAATGAATTCTTCAAACAAAATAATGCCATATACAAATATTTCTGTAGTGCTTTTGGATGACTAAATAAGCTAGAAGTCTGTCACCTCAGAGACAGAGGAAGGCTGTTGTCACTACTTGTTGGCCCTACAGGAAGCTAAATAACTGGTTTCCAAACAACACATGCCACTGAAATGAGCAAGAAATGAGCAAGATATACCACACGCCAGCCATCTGTATGACTGCAGGCCATGCCTGATAAACAAAACAACTCTGAATAACAAAAGAGGCATAGTAATTAGCCTCTATCCAGAAGAGAACCGAATGCAATAACCAGTCCCCTTCAGCTGATCAGCCTTTGAGGTTTGCAAAGCACTTTTTCACGTACCTTATCTCTTTCATCAAACCATCTCCCTGAGAAAGATGGTGGAACAGGGAAAAAAACTGAAGTTAAAGGGCGTATGCTGTGCAAAGTCACAAAGCAAAGTGCACCACAAACAGGCACTGGAACCTAGGTCTCCTGGCACCAAATCCATTCCCTGCCCACCGTATCTCCCTATCTCCCTGTCTTTGCATCTGGCCACTACCCATCTTGGACCCCATACTCGGGTTTATATTGGGTAGCTAAGCACAGTACAGGGGGATGGTGGGAGTCTAGGGTGAGCCTCTCCTGTTTTCCCGCAGTTCCATCTAAAACAGCTTCCAAACAAAGGCCTGTGAAGAAACTCAGTGTCAGAAAACAGAAACCCCTATTAGAGATGAAAACACTGACTATGAATCAGCACTGACATAGTATTTAGATCATGGTCCAGACTTTATTGAATAAGATGTCCTGGGCCGAGCTCAGTGGCTCAGCCTGTAATCCCAGCACTCTGGGGAGGCTGAGTGGATTGCCTGAGCCCATGGGTTTGAGACTAGCCCAGGCAACTTGGCGAGACTTCAACTCTACAATAAATCAAAAATTAGCTACAGGCGTGGTAGAGTGCACCTGTAGTTCCGGTTACTTGGAAGGCTAAGGCGGCGGGATCACTGGAGCCCAGTGGGGTGGCCGTGAGCATTCCACTGCACTCCAGCCTGGGCAACAGAGGGAGATTCCAACTCAAAAATAAATGGTGACCACAGGCTCTAGTCCTTTCCTTACCTGGAATCGAAGAAGGTGCCATCCAGAAGCGTGCCATTGTAGTGATACCTGAGAAAGTCCCCACTTTGACTTATCCGCTCACAGTTTTCAGGCACCACCTTGTTCTCAATGGAAATACTGTCCTTGGGGTTATGGAGGTCCAATAATGCAACATCAAATACCAGAGATGCCTGTCCAGGAATGTCTTTCCCTGAATGGAATGGAGGAAGATGTCTAAATCAGAACACAGATTCAGGAAGTACTTTACAACTCAACACCCTGGGCATTGGTGTTACTCATCCCTTGAGGTCTTCAAGTCGAGAAAACAAATGTTCTTCCGGGTTTAAGGTGGTTTCCTGTGATGTCCAATCATGGGCTGGTGGGTGTAACCTAAAGCCTGACTTAGGAAAAGGAGCAAGCTGATACTGATGACTGAAGAGACTACCATGACCATATTTTCTCATGCTGGAAAATCAAGCCTCTGTGTGGGTGTGGTCATGCACCTACACCCAAACCTTAATACAAACCTCTATGGGTGTCCATTTGTGTACAAATGCAAATCACAAACATTTAAAGGTGCAAATTCCAAAGCTCTGATCTGGTTCTGGAAAACTGTACACAGACTTTTTCTTTGAAACCACCAGTCATTTTTTTCTAAAGAGGGAAGATGCAAAATTCAATCTTTTAAGTATATCCAAGTCAAGATATAAATAAAATGAAAGTTAGCTAAGATAACAGAGAAAAAAATGGTGCTCACAATCCAAAGTATAAACAGTTCTCAAATCTATATCACTTCTGGATAGTGTTGCTTCTCTCGAAGGTTCCTGACAGGATTTATTGGATATCTGCAAGATGAAATTCACCTGAAGAGATTACAGGCACTAAGTTCTTCCTGCAAAGATCAACATCAATCAATAAACAACTCTGAGTCCAGTAATTTGGAAAGAAAGAAAGTTAACTGACACACCAAGGACCTCAACACTCTGCCTTGCCATCTGTTAGACCATGCAAAGGAATAGGCCTGGGCAAGCAAACCAGACTCAGCCTGGGCTCCTTCTCCTCAGAGAAATGATGAAATCTGCAGAAAGCCGGCTGCTGAGTCAGTCCCTGGAATGCAAGGTGTGGTCAATCTCTGAAGTGTATGTGTGAGACAGAATATTAATCTTTTGTACTCTTCTGTATCTTTAAATTTAAGAGAGGGGAAAAAAAGAAAACCTTAAAAGTAACCTCAGGGTTTCTGTTTGTCTAGCATTAATATGTACTAACTGAATAACATTTTTTTTTCTTCTTTTTTTTTGAGTTAAGGTCTCACTTTATTGCCCAGGCTAGAATGTAGTGGCAGGATCACAGCTTGCCGTAGCCTCCTCCCAAGTAGATGGCACTATAGGTGTGCACCAACATGCCCAGATAATTTTTTTTGTTGTGTAGAAACAAGGTCTTGCTATGTTGCCTAGGTTGGTCTCAAACTTCTGGGCTCAAGCAGTCCTCCCGCTTCCACCTCCCAAAGTGCTGGAATTACAGGCAGAAGGCACTACGCCTGCCTGGCCACTGAATAATATTTTCTTTTTTTTCTTGTTTTTTGAGTCGGAGTCTCACTCTGTTGCCCAGGCTCGAGTGCAGTGGCACGCTCATAGCCACTCCAGAATCGATCTGCTGGGCTCAGGTGATCTTTCTGCCTCAGCCTTCCAAGTAGCAGGAACTATAGGCACGCGCTACCACACCCGGCTAATTTTTTATTTTTTGTAGAGACGAGGTCTCGCCAAGTTGCCCAGCCTCAGGCAATCCACTGACCTTGGCCACCCAAGGTACTGGGATGATAGGCTGAGCCACCAAGCCCGGCCTGAATAATATTTTCTATAGCAACTTTACTGAGATATAATTCACATACCATACAATTCACCCATTTAAAGTTATACTTGGATAGATGAGCACAGTATTCAAGTATAAAATATTAAAAATAACTAACCTATTTATCTTAAATAAATATTACTTAAGGTAAATAAATAATATTCCATATAGTAGGCCTGTATCTAGTTTTGTTATATGGATGATGTCAAAAGGATCTAGGAATTCCTGGTTAATGAGCTTCCTGGGGCAAGGATGAGACAATTTGAACATCAATAAGAATAATAACTGCCAGGCATAGTGACTGGGCAACATAACTAGACCCCACCTCTAAAAAAAAAAAAAAAGTAGCTGGGCATGGTGGCATGCACCTGTACTCCAAGCTACTCAGGAGGCTGAGGAGTTGGGACTGCTTGATGCCAGGAGTTCAAGACCAGGCTGGGAAACAACATAATACTCCATCTCTACAAAAAATAAAAATTTTTAAAAAGTTTACTGATAGTGAGACCCAACTTATAATAACCCACATAACGTTTTCTAAGCTGTTTCCTGGCTCTGCAGGTCTATAGAGCAGAAGGAGAGGGGAGTCTGAATGGGCAGGGCTCAACTTTTCCTCCTGTCCACCTCCACATTTATGTGGAATTTACACGCTAGGGATGGATCTGCAGACAATTTCTTAAAAAGAGAGACAGCAGGTAGAACTCCATACTTTAAATAAAGCTTGAAAACCACTGCCGTAAATATGTCTTTTTTTTTTTTTTGAGTTGGAGTCTCACTCTGTTGCCCAGACTGGAGTGCAGTGGCCACTCCCGGTCACCGCAGCCTCAACCTGCTGGGCTCCGGCGATCCTTCCGCCTCAGCCTTCCAAGTAGCTGGAACTACAGGCGCGCACTACCACGCCCGGCTGATTTTTTCATTTATTGTAAAGATGAGGTCTCGCCAAGTTGCCCAGGTGGGTCTCGAACCCGCGGGCTAAGGCAATCCACTCACCTCAGCCTCCCAAGGCGCGTAAATATGTCTTAATTCTCCCCTCCCTGAGGAGATATAATTTCTTCTTTGTTAGAGACCAAGTCTTGCTCTGTCTCCCAAGCTGGCCCAAGCCATCCTCCCATCTCAGCCTCCCAAAGTTCTGGGACCAGAGGCATGAGCCACCATGACTAGCAGTAAACTTCTTAACTAGCATCATGTTCTTGTTTTATTCTCATTTTTTCAGATTAGAAAATAGTTTATTTAAAAGTAAATTAGAGAGAGAGAAAGAGAAGATTCACCTCCCCAAGGTGGAGAGGGAGCCAAAGCCAGGAAGCACGGTGACAGTCATGGCTCAAAGAGCACATGGCCACACCAGAGTCTAGTAAGGCAATGACCTGTTTGTATTCTTTTTTTTTTTGAGTTGGAGTCTCACTCTGTCACCCAGACTGGAGTGCAGTGGCCGCTTCCGGCCACCGCAGCCTCGACCTGCTGGGCTCCAGCGATCCTTCCACCTAAGCCTTCCAAGTAGCCGGAATTACAGGTGTGCGCTACCACACCCAGCTGATTTTTCGATTTTTTGTAGAGATGAGGTCTCACTGCCCAGGCGGGTCTCGAACCCGCGGGCTCAGGCAATCCACTCATCTCAGCCTCCCAAAGGCGCGGGATTATAGGCTGAGCCACCGAGCCCGGCCCGTTTGTATTCTTAACTACAAATAGTTATGGTTCACATAACAACATTCAGTCAATGACAGACTGCAAATATGACGGCGATCCCATAATATTATACCATATTTTTACTGTACCTTTTTTACATTTAGATATGCAAATACTTACCATTGTGTTACAATTGCCTATAGTATTCAGTACAGTAACACGCCGTACAGGCTTGTAGCTTAGGAGCATACCATACAGCCTAGGTGTTCAGTAGGCTACACCATCTAGGTTTGTATGAATGCATTCTACAATGTTTGCATAACAACAAAATTGCCTAATGATGCATTTCTCAGAACATATCTCCATCATTAAGTGACACGTGGCTGTATCTACCTGCTCTTTAAATGCCTGGAAGGCTCTATGTGTGTGTCAGCCTGCCAGTATGATTAAACATGCCTGGAATTCAAATATGAGTAACTGAGAAATTGTATTCATCAGCTAATAGTCAATGTTTTCCTTCACAGTAAAACTACAAATAAACAGGATACTAACTCTAATTAAAGTATTTTCCAGCCGGGCACGGTGGCTGGAACCTGTAATCCTACCACTTTGGGAGGCTGAGGTGAGGGGATTTTCTGAGCCCACGGGCTCGAGAACAGCCTGGGCAACTTGGTGAGACGTCATTTCTACAATAAATCAAAAAATTAGCCAGGCATGGTAGCACACGCCTGTAGTTCCGGCTATATGGAAGGCTGAGGCAAAAGCATCACCTGAGCCCAGCAGGTCGATGATCAGGTGGCCGTGAGCATGCATGTCACCACACTCCACCTGGGTGATGGAGTGAGATTCCAACTCAAAAATAAAAAGAGTATTTTCTAACATTGTTTTGCTTTTGTTCGCATAGATCTAATATCATAAGTAAAATGCATAAAAGAGGCACAAACAGGGAAAAATGTGGCAGTTCTGATATCACATGGCTACATTTCTCCCTTGATGCCTGCTACTTTTAGGCCATCTAATTCAAATCTCATTTAACAGATGAGAAAGCAAGAGAGGTTGGTGCCCAAGGCCACAGCGAGTATGACAGGGGCAGTGGGCTTACTTACAAACACCAACAACAGCGTGTAAGTAAAGTGTCTGTAATTTTTTTTTTTTTGAGTTGGAGTCTCACTCCGTCGCCCGACTGGAGTGCAGTGGCTGCTCCCGGTCACTGCAACCTCGACCTGCTGGGCTCCGGCAATCCATCCGCCTCAGCCTTCCAAGTAGCTGGAACTACAGGCGCACGCTACCACGCCCGGCTAATTTTTGATTTATTGTAGAGATGAGGTCTCACCAAGTTGCCCAGGCGGGTCACGAACCCGCGGGCTCAGGCAATCCACTCACCTCAGCCTCCCAAACGTGCGGTATTACAGGCTGAGCCACCGAGCCAGGTTAGTGTCTGTAATTCTTTTTTGTTTGTTTGTTTGTTTGTTTTTTTGAATTGGAGTCTCACTCTGTCACCCAGACTGGAGTGCAGTGGCCGCTCCTGGCCACCGCAGCCTCGACCTGCTGGGCTGCGGCGATCCTTCCGCCTCAGCCTTCCAAGTAGCTGGAACTACAGGTGTGCGCTACCACGCCCGGCTAATTTTTTGATTTATTGTAGAGATGAGGTCTTGCCAAGTTGCCCAGGCGGGTCTCGAACCCACGGACTCAGGCAATCCACTCACCTCGGCCTCCCAAAGGCGTGGGATTACAGGCTGAGCCACCGAGCCCGGCCTAGTGTCTGTAATTCAATCATCAATGGCAGACAATCTAAACTGGCACTGTCCAATAGCACTTTCCACTGTGATGGAAATGCTCTGTATCTGCATTGTCCAGCACAGTAGCTCTCAGCAACATGTGGCCCTTGAATACCTGAAGTGTGGCAGCGTGACCAAGGAACTAAATTTTATTTTATTTTTATTGTATTTATTTATTTTTGAGTTGGCTTCTCACTCTGTCACCTAGGCTAGAGTGCAATGGCACGATCACAGCTCACAGCAGCCTCACCCTCCTGGGCTCAGGCAATCCTTCTACCTCAGCTTCCCAAGTAACTGGGACTAGAGGCATACACTACCACACCCAGCTAAATTTTTTTTTCATAGAGACGAGGATTTGCTATATTGCCCAGGCTGGTCTCAAACTCCAGGGCTCAAGCAATTCTCCCTCCTTGGCCTCCCAAAGTGCTGGGATTACAAGCATGAGCCACGGCACCCAGCTTGATTATTAAATTCCAGTTAATTTTAATTTATCTTCATTTAAACATAAATAGCCATATATAGCTAGTGGCTACTGTAACAGAGAGTATAGGTCGAGACCAAAAGGTCTGGTGGGTTTCATGTGGTAACAGCTGAATTAATCGCTGCAATAAAAATAGGGACGGACGAGAATGACTTTAAGAAAGAGAAGGGCTTACCATCTCCATCTTCCCCATAGGCCAGAAACGGAGGGATGGTAATGATGCGCTTCTCCCCGACACACATCCCCAGCAGCCCTTTGTCCATCCCAGGAATCAGCCAGCCAATTCCCACATACGTGTCATATGTCTTCATGCGATTGTGACTGAAAGCCAATGAGAAAGGAAACAGTTCCATGCCATGAGGTGTCTCCAACTCATCCCTCAGGTTCTTGTTACCCAAATCTCATCTAAACAATAAGCTCATATCTATCCTTAGAGACAGACATTCATGGATCTTTGCCCCAGACACAGAGCAGAAGTCCTCAAGTTAGCAAGGAATGAAAAGCATGTGTTTTTACCAGTGATTGACAAGAACAGGCCGGCTATTCCGCTAATCCAACATGCTCCAAGCAGGAACCTGCAGTGGACTTCCCTGTTCTCCACCTTAGCCCCATACCTCTCCATGGTTTCATATACATTCACTCTCCCCTCCTCCTTCCATGGAAAAACTATAAAAAGGAACCAACACATGCATGAGACTACTTAGAAGTAGGGTTCTTTACTTAATGGGGCACATGAAAATACCAGTATAGGCCAGCCTCGGTGGCTCAGTCTGTAATCCTAGCACTTTGGGAGGCTGAGACGAGTGGATTGCCTGAGCCTGCAGGTTCAAGACCAGCCCAGCAATTATCAACAACTCAAAAAATAACAGCTGCTGGAGAGGGTGTGGTGAAAAGGGAACACTTCTACACTGTTGGTGGGAGTGTAAACTAGTGCAACCTCTGTGGAAAGCAGTGTGGCAATTCCTAAAAGCTCTAAAAATTGACCTTCCATATGACCCTGCAATCCCCCTACTGGGAATATACCCTGAAGAACACAAATCACTCTATAAAAAATATACCTGCACATGTATGTTTATCGCAGCGTTGTTCACAATAGCAAGAACCTGGAAACAACCATGCTGCCCATCAAAAGAGGACTGGATTAAAAAAATGTGGTACATATACATGATGGAATACTATGCAGCCATAAAAAAGAACAAAATCATGAATTTCGCTGCAACCTGGATGGAACTAGAGTCTATAATACTGAGTGACCTCTCACAGAAACAAAGATCCGAATATCACATGGTCTCACTCATATAATGGACCTTGAACATCCAATGCAATACTATAAGAAAATGACTGACGGTACTGGGAAACTATGGGGGGGAGGGGGATGGGATTAACAGTAGCAAATATCTGTCGGGGGATGGGAAAACACCTCTTATCAACAGGGTGCCTGATTGAAACATAATTGTACACCTAACCCTTAACTGTGCCCCACAAAACCATAATAAAAAATACTGATTAATGAAAAAAAAAAAAAAAAAAGACCAGCCCAGGCAACTTGGCGAGACCTCATCTCTACAATAAATAAAAAATTAGCCAGGCGTGGTAGCACGTGGCAGTCATTCCAGCTACTTAGAAGGCTGAGGCAGAAGGATCCCCGGAGCCCAGCAGATCGATGCTAGGGTGGCCGTGAGTATATCACTGCACTCTAGCCTGGGCAACAGAGTGAGACTCCAACTCAAAAAAAAAAATTATAATAATACCATTATATTACATTGCTCTCAAATTTTTCCAAGAGGTATTAAAATTTGATTGTGGTACCAGGGAGCATGCAACACTGACCAAAAGTCTTAAGTACAGGAGTTTGGAACTGGGTAAAGTGGGGAAGAGTCCCTTTTCTGGTTTCCCCGTGGGCATAAAAAGCAGATAAGAAAGGAGGGTACCAACAGGCACTTCACTCATACCACCATGAGCGGCGACACTTACCTCGAATCAAACAGCGTTCCATCCAGGAATGTTCCATTGTAGTGGTACCTCACAAAATCAGACACCTGGATAGTCCGAGGGCAACTGGGGGGCTTGAAATAAGTGTGAATCTGTACCTGGTCTTCAGAATTCCAAATATCCATCAGAAGTACATCAAAATGAAGCACTGAATTTGGGGGGATCACACCAGCTAGAAATTAAAAAGAATTCACACTGAGTTCATGGTTGCAGCCATTGTAGCCAAACAAATAAACACCTAGGACACTGCCAAGGTAAATGGGAGCCAAAAGGGATCAAGCTGGTCATGGGTATCAACAATTCCAAAATGAACCATTCCTCCTCTGTCTCTCCTCCAAATGAAATTGAAACAAAATATAAAATACATTTCCCTCTTGTCAAGGGTATAATTCAATACACCTGTGTTAATGACATGTTCTTTCATATCCAGACGAAATAAACCCAAGATAGAAATGTTAGCTTTGTATGAGTTCGTTGTTTTTCATTTTCCCGAATCTGAAGCTTCTAAGAGTCTCCAGTCTGCTTGACTGAACAGCCTACAAATGTTCTGATTGTTTCTGCAGATGTGTTTATAAAAACAGAATAAAAACTTACCAACTCCTTCATTTCCGTAGGCAAGCTTTGGGGGAATCTTCACAAAACGCCTCTCGTTTACACACATGTCAACCAGAGCCTGGTCCATCCCTTCAATCAGCTGTCCTTTCCCCACAAAAACGTTGAAAGTGGAGTCTCTATCATAGCTGAAGACCAAAAAGGTGGGAAGAGAGAAAGAAAAGTATAAATATTCTTTTCCTTAGTGAAACCAGCTGGGCGCAGTGGCTCACACCTGCAATCTCAGTATTTTGAGAGGTTGAGATGGGGTGGATTGCTTGAGGTCAAGAGTTCAAGACCAACCTGTGCAGCATAGTGAGACCCCCCCACCCTTCTCTACAAAATAAGTGAATAAATAATTTTTTAAAAAAGAAACCAACTTGTGAAAATGTATCCCTGGAACGTAATGAGGTCATGACAAAGCCAAGCCTGCTGAGGAATTATTGATTCGGGGATATCTTCACCAGACAGTACTTGTAGTGTTGGACTTTTTATATTACCTCAAATATTGCCAGCAAATCTAGTTAGATACGTATTAGCATAACTCTCTCCAGAAAAAACAACAAAAAAATGTTAAGTTCGTTTTGCAAAATAGCTACCTAGGCTGGGCGCAGTAGCTCATGCCTATAATCCCAGCACTTTGGAAGGCCAAGGCAGGAAGATCTCTTGAGTTTGAGATCAGCCTGGGCAACATAGCAAGAACTTGACTCTACCAAAAAAAAAAAAAAAAAAATTAGCCAGGCATGGTGGCACACACCTGTAATCCCAGCGCTCAGGAGGCTGGGGCAAAAGGATCGCCTGAGCCCCTAAGGTCAAGGCTGAGTGAACTGTGATTTGCCACTACGCTCCAGCCTGAGCAACAGGGTAAGACTCCAACTAAAAAAAAAGTAGCTACCCAATCATTCACTGACAACAAAATAGGAGGTTTACTTCGTTTTCTATGTTATCGGTACCTGAAAACAACATCATAGACACTAATGGCCCAAGTTAAAACACACACACAATACACACACACATACAAATAAATTTTTTTTTGAGTTGGAGTCTCACTCACTCTGTCACCCAGGCTGGAGTGCAGTGGCATGCTCACAGCCACTCCACATATAAATATTTTTAAAGTTAAACAAAGAGGCAGCATGGAATAGCATAAAGCATACTTAAACTCTCTTAATCTCAGTTTCCTCCACGGCAAAAGGTGAGTAATAACAACAGCCATTCTAGGATGTTTATAACAATGGAAAAAGTGTTCTGAAAACCTAAGCCTTCTGCCAATATTACTGTAAGTATTAGAGGTAATAGAAAGTTGCTTGCAATCTTGAGATCACCAATCTGTGTGTTTTAAAGGTTCACAGGTGGCCGGGCTCGGAGGCTCAGCCTGTAATCCCAGCACTTTGGGAGGCTGAGGTTAGTGGATTGTCTGAGCCCATGGGTTCGAGACCAACGTGGGCAACTTGGCGGGACCTAGTCTCTGCAATAAATAAAAAATTAACCAGGTGTGGTAGCACGCACCTGTAGTTCTAGCTACTTGGAAGGCTGAGGCACAAGGCTCTAGAGCCCAGCAGGTCGACACTGGTGTGGCCGTGAGTGTGCCACAGCACTCCAGTCTGGGTGATGGAGTGAGACTCCAGCTCAAAAAAATAAATAAATAAATGAAGGTTCACAGGTGATGGCCTTAGGTCGAATGACAAATAATGAAATCATGGCTGTGCCCACATCCTCATCTTCTTCAAGGTCAATTCAGCAATCAACAAGGGTTTACCTTTTAGGAGACTGTCACGTGTTTTGAAGGTGTATAAATAAAAGAAGTCTCATGAGGCATGGAGTTTGCCCTTAAATATCTTGTAAACTGGTAGAGAGATACAGAGTTTCAGACACTGTGTTTAAGAAAACAACTGCAGGCTGGGCTCAGTGGCTCAGCCTATAATCCTAGCACTTTGGGAGGCCGAGGTGAGTGGATTGCCTGAACTCGGGTTCGAGACCTGCCTGGGCAACTTGGCGAGATCTCATCTCCACTATAAATCAAAAATAGCCGGGTGTGGTAGCACGCGCCTGTAGTTCCAGCTACTTGGAAGGCTGAGGCGGAAGGATCGCCAGAGCCCAGCAGGTCAAGACTGCGGTGGCTGGGAGCGGCCACTGCACTCCAGTCTGGGCGACAGAGTGAGACTCCAACTCAAAAAAAGAAAACAACTGCAATTTCTCAACCAACTCATCTTCGACAAAGCTTCCACCACCAACATCTGGGGAGAAGACAACCTATTCAGTAAATGGTGCTGAGAAAACTGTCTGACCACATGCAGAAGATTAAAACAAGATCCCTACCTATCACCACACACAAAAATCAACTCTCAAATTATAGGAACCTTAGAAAATGCAGGAGACCCCCTTATGGAAATTGGGACTGCAACCAATTCCTGATCAAAGCCCCAAGTGCCCATGCCATAAGAGATAAGATAGACAAGTGGGACCTCATCAAACTGACAAGCTTCTGCAAAGTCAAAGAAACCATCAAGAGAGTGGGGAGACAGTTCACAGAATGGGAAAAATTGCCATTTCTGACAATGGTCTAACATATAGGATCTACAAGGAACTCAAACGTGCTGAAAAGCAAAAAACAAAGAGCCCCATTACAAAGTGGACAAAGATAAGAATAGATACTTCTCAAAAGAAGATATATAAGCAGCCAACAGATACATGAAAAAATGCTCAGCCTCACTAGTCATCAAAAACATGCAAATTAAAACTACACTGAGCTGGGCTCGGTGGCTCAGCCTGTAATCCCGCACCTTTGGAAGGCTGAGATGAGTGGATTGCCTGAGCCCGAGGGTTCGAGACCCACCTGGGCAGCAAGACCTCATCTCTACAATAAATTTTTAAAAAAATCAGCTGGGCATGGTAGCGCATGCCTGTAATTCCGGCTACTTGGAAGGCTGAGGTGGAAGGATCGCCGGAGCCCAGCAGGTCGAGGCTGCGGTGGCCGGGAGCGGCCACTGCACTCCAGTCTGGGCGACAGAGTGAGACTCCAACTCAAAAAAAAAAAAAAAAAACTACACTGAGATACCACCTAACTCCAGTCTATCATCAATAACTTGAAAAACAACAGATGCTGGAGAGGATGCAGCAGAAACGGAACACTTCTACACTGTTTGGTGGGAGTGTAAACTAGTACAGCCTCTGTGGAAAACAGTGTGGCAATTCCTAAAAGATCTAAAAACTGACCTTCCATACGACCCCGCAATCCCCCTACTGGGAATATACCTGGAAAAACTCAAATCACTCTGTTAAAAAGACACCTGCACACGTATGTTTATCGCAACATTGTTCACAAAATAGCAAGAACATGGAACCAACCATGCTGCCCATCAAAAGAGGACAGGATAAAAAAAAAAGTGGTACATATACATGATGGAGTATTACACAGCCCTAAAGAAGGACAAAATTATGAACTTCTCAGCAACCTGGATGGACTTAGAGTCTATAATACTGAGTGATCTTTCACAGAAACAAAGAACTGAGTATCACATGTTCTCACTCATAAGCGGACCTTGAACAATCATATAATACCATAAGAAAAGGATTAGCACTAGCGGGAAACTGCTGGAAGGGGAGTGGGGAAGGAGGACTGTCAGTAGTGGGAAACTGCCAGGGGAGGGGGGCGGGATCAGCAGTTGAGGGAAACTGCCAGGAGAGGGAGGAGTACACCTCATCAACAAGGGTATCTGCATAATAAACATTTGTATACCAAACCCTGAATTGTACCCCACATCTTTAAAATAAAAAAGAAAAACTTTAAAGAAAAAAAAAGAAAACTACAGAGCTTAGCTTTAAATAGTAAACTAGAAATAACTGAGAAGTTCAAAGGTGTGGCACTGATTGCACTAAGGCAAAGTCAATAAAATGCTCTATTATCATTTTTTTAAAAATAGAGATGGGTCTGCCTAGGTTGGTTTTAACCTCCTGAGCTCGAGCCATCCTTCCACCCCGGCCTCCCAAAATGTTGGGAATAAAGGCGTGAGTCACCATGCCCAGCCTTACTATGGCTATTTTAAAACAGATTTCTGAGCCGGGCTCGGTGGCTCAGCCTGTAATCCCGCACTTTGGGAGGCTGAGGTGAGTGAATTGCCTGAGCCCGCGGGTTCGAGACCCGCCTGGGCAACTTGGTGAGACCTCATCTCCATAATAAATCAAAAATTAGCCGGGTGTGGTAGTGTGCATCTGTAGTTTGAGCTACTTGGAAGGCTGAGGCGGAAGGATCGCTGGAGCCCAGCAGGTCGGAGCCCACTGCACTCCAGTCTGGGCAGGAGAGTGAGACTCCAACTCAAAAATAAATAAATAAATAAATCATAAAACAGATTTCTGCTCATTGACATGGAGGGACATACACAAAAAAGTAACGAATGGGTAACAGAGCCACAGCATAAAATACTCCCATGTTCAATTTATATAGAGAGATGCATATGACAAAAAGCCACAAGGCAATACATGAAAATATTATCAATGGTAATTTATGGGTAGAGGGCTTCAAGTGAACGAATTGCTTTTCCCTCTTTTCAAAATGATCAGGTAATTACTTCTATAATAAAATGTGAAGATCCACTGGGATTGACTTCATCAATGTGCCTGCCCCCCTTCATCGTGTAGATGGCTTTTGCTTTTTCCTCCTTTTCCCTAACGAACAGCTTGTCCAAGCAGCAGAGTCCCCCTCACCACTAGCACCAGGCAGTATCCTCAGAGTTGCTCCCTGCTTCCCCCATCCCTTTTTCCCTCCTGGCTTTACAGCCTGTGTTAATAGCCTTCCTGTCTTTAAGGTCAGTGAACAGAAATAAGGATTTCAAATTCAGGTCAACTAGCCAGAGGACAAAAGCATATAGTCAGTTTTGAGCCCACGACAGCTTTATGCCTCCACCTTCCACCTCCGGGGCAGAAACACGCACCCTCTGGAATACCAGCTCTTGAATGTCACTTGGCTGGGGTCTCACCATGCGACTGAGCTAATCATCAAACTGGCAGGTTTACAATAATGCACCAGAAAGCAAGGCTTCAGAGATCCCAAAACTCAGAACACATGCAAACAGCAAGAATGAACAGGCAGAAAACTACTTTAAAAAATAGATTTTTCCAAAAAAATCAGCTGGGCGTGGTGGCGCATGCC